CCTTCCTTCCTTCCTTCCTTCCTCCTCCTTATTGAAATCATCGTTTCTATAGGCACTACTTCTAACCTGTCCCAAAAGTTGTGTTTTGGGGTAGCGGACACACACACACACACACACACACAGTATCCCCGTGTCATCAATAAGCTTACTATCCCAACAGTGACTGAGAGCATGTGAGTCTTCAGCAGTGAGTAGATAAGCTTGGTTTGTGTACAGTTAAGCTTTTGAACACAGGGGGGAATTAAAGTGCTATACTAATCCAAACTAAGCATAGGTTGGGGGAGGAATGATGGGGGAGGGTGGAAGGGATGGGGAGGAGGAGGGGGGAAGGGGTGATTGACGGAGGGGGGGAAGGGGTGATTGACGGAGGGGAGGTCATCAGTAGAGGTCAAAGGTCAGGTACATAACACATAAATAATCTCTACTTTTGGAAAACATAACTTGTTTATGGTTTAAAATTTTTTTCCGGCTTATATGAGTTACTTGAACCATTTTAAAACCGGGTCACATAAACAAAAAATGTCAAATTCAAGAACGCATTTACAATATTTATTCCTCCTAAGAAAAACGAATTTCCTAATCATACTTGTTTTTTAAGTGTGTGTGTGTGTGTGTGTGTGTGTGTGTGTGTGTGTGTGTGTGTGTGTGTGTGTGTGTGTTAACCTAGAGATTCTTCCTCTATTTCCAAGTTTTGGTAAATCCGACAACGCCACATTTATCGACATTTTCCAGAACGAGGTTTGTGATGTTAACTTGGAGGAAAGTGTTCTATCATTGGTGGCCTCAGGCAGACCGTGGCTTGCATTTACCAATTTACGAGAACTCACCTGGAGCCTCTCTGATCAGGTGAAGACTCTATCCTTCTAAGGCTCAAGCATCTGTGTTTGTTGTTGAGTTGAGAAGTTGTTTTCTTTGTGAAGTTAAACTTTTGATTGGTGGTGAATTGTTGAGGAATTGAAGACCCCGAGGTGCTGTATTGTACATAGCTAACAGGTGTGTGTGTTGGGAAGGGTTCTAACCTAACCTAACCTAACCTAACCTAACCTCACCTCACCTCACCTAACCTAACCTAACCTCACCTCACCTCACCTCACCTCACCTCACCTAACCTAACCTAACCTCACCTCACCTCACCTCACCTAACCTAACCTAACCTAACCTAGCCCTTATGTAGATGATGTCAGATATTGCCACAAGTTTTAAGGTGATTTTTTGCCTTCGGAAGCGGTACACGTCAGGTGCTGTGGCTGACGTGTGTTTTGTTGTGTTGGTGTAGGCTGTTGCAGGTCTGGCCTACTGTTTACAGGTTAATGAAGAGTCCAGCCTAAAAACTGCACCACCACCACCACCACCACCACCACCTCAGTCTACTACAGGCTGATGTTGTTGTGTTGGTCTAAGCTACAGGAAGGTCCAGCCTGTAGTGTAGTAGGCACCACTTCCACTATTGCCACCAGCTCAGTCTACAGGCTCCCCCGTCAGCCTGTAGACCTCGTCAGTCTTGTACCCTAAAGGGAAACATTTTACCAACTCAAGCTTAATAAATTCGAATGTTCCTTTGAGTTGGGGGAAAGATAAAAAAAAATAGAATAATGGAAAAAAAATGGAAAAACGCTCGCAGCCAAACATGCTCTGAAAGGTGGAGCGAGAAATGATATTGAGTTATTTTCTGGGACTAGACTGTGTGTGTGTGTGTGTGTGTGTGTGTGTGTGAGGAAGTCTTTGAGAAGTATTATTTTTTTTTTAATGAACGTTGAAGGACCCTGTGTAGGAGGTAAGGTGATGAAGCCTTAAGATGCTCCTTCATAGTGCTGACAAGAGTGTTCTGAAGGAGGCGTTGAAGGTTGGAATCTTACTTTTCTGTGCTGGTTGAAAGCCTTGCGTCACGTCCCCCACACAAAGGGTGAATGAGCTTCTTGTAGAGGTACGTTGCTTATAAGTGTTTTGCTGTGGTGTTCATCGTTGACAGTCTCATTATTACAGTGTGTGTGTGTGTGTGAGAATCTTGCTGTATCCGTCGACCTGCTCGGTGTTCCCGCTACCGAAAAGACATTGGCGACCTTTTAGCAACATTAATTTTACACCCGCTTAGTAGGGCGACATGAACACCGTGTGAATTATGGATGAACGTCGGCATGCGGTGGGGCGTGGGGTCCTCTGGAGTTCTGAACCGACACACACGCGAGAAAAGTTGTCATCTACGACATAATAACACCGCTGGCTCAAGAACGACCTTCATTATTCACAGTCCCCAAACGGTACTGACTGGCCGGTAAAAACAGAGGAAATAATTTTTTTTTTATTAAATACTTGGTGATGCTTGTATGACAGAGACCTTAACGTAATATTCATTTTCGCTAAATATAGATTGTCTTTCTAAAGCTCTTCTCAGGGTGGCGAATAAGGTATTTTGAGTGTTTAATTATTGAAGGCTTATGTAATGGATGATGCTATGATGTATTACAGTGAATCATGAAGGCATATTGTTCAACAGTTAGAC